ATTCATACATTTTGTGTTTATACTCTGAACCAATTTTATTTCTTCAAAAAGATCAAAAAGTAATATTGAATATTAAATATTAATTGATATATATAGACAATATATTTAGTATTCGCACTTACGAAATATCATCATCTTTACCGATGTAAGATGAAAGGGTACTAATTATCGTACTACTGCTTATTTCGAATTCCCTGTCAACTGATTTGGAAGTTTGATTTTCGCGTTTTTTTAGAATTGCTATTCATATTCAATTCATGTAAAATTGTTGAAGATTATTAAGTAAACAGCACGTGATGACTAATATGCAAAAATCAGTGTACTCACCTGCAAGAGAAACCATAATATCGTTGCTTTAAAGATTTCATAGAAATGAAAATGAAAATGAAAATGAATTATTTTTATATACAAAATGTTATTAAAAATTTCATGGTTATTTTTTGGTACTTTTTGTTATGAATTCGAGCTTGATCATCGTTAGATTCTTGATCTTTATTAAAATTCATATTATCCTTTTTAAGAAAGTGTCTCTCAGGTTTAAAGATATGATGATATTTTCCTGTTAGATTTGTTCTAAAGCGTGAGGATATTGGATATGCTGATACATTATTGACTGGAAAAAAAAAAAAACATAAAATTTTTTTTTTTAAAAAAAAAAATATTCTATAAATATGTATTAATGTAATGTAGAATTACTTGAATTCGTTGGTTGAATTTTATTTTTGTTAATTCCTGTTCTACCCATTGTTTTCGAAAGAACTTGTATATTTTGTTCAAAGTTTAGTTTTAAAGATATGTTGTGAAGATTGATTGAGATTCAGGTGAAGGAAGTTTCGACGAAAGTATAATAAATATCCTCCCAAAGTTACACAAAATAATATTAATTTTATTCTCCACTTTATAAATATAAATAAATAAATATATATAACAAGCACGAGATCAATATATAGATATCTTCGAGAATTAAAACTTTAATCAGATAATAATTTTTTTTTAAACCTGTTTTTGCCTGTTTATTAAAACGAGCCAAAAAAAAATATTCTATCTGTTATCCAGTCAGTGATTGAACTTGGAAGTATAAGAAATCAGTGTGAATATACAATTTCCCTTCAAATCAAACTCTAATTGTATTTCAGAATCGTCATCTTTTGTACAATAGAAAAAGTCCCTTTCATTTAATCATTTTTATTCACAAACAAGATCATAAGAAGTAAACAAAGGAAATATAATGATATTTGTTTCTGATTAAGGAAAAAAATTTTATATTTTAGGCTAGTTCGGCTCGTTGATGTTGCAGTTTTTGCATCAAGATCAGAAACAACCTGGAGGAGACGTTCCTTCTCAGCTTCATACTTAAAAATATCTCGTCTCTATTAAGCATTATTAAATTTTTGATTTAATTCCTTGCCCACTCATTCTTTCATGATCAGATTTCCATCACGATCAGCAAAAAAAAAAAATTCAGTTTAATTTTCTCTGGCTTCAAGCATACATGCGAGAAGGTGGGAATCGTGCAAACTTATTCACCAGTTCACATTCCTTAATCACATATCTCCAATAGGATTCTAAATCTTTCACACGTTGCGAACGTTCTTTGTTAACCTGTTGTAAAAAAGAAGATTCTTAGTAATGTGCGCAAACTTTTTTATTTAGTAATAAAAGAAGGTATATAGCCTTCAGACACAGTGGCAAAGTTAGGGTGCCTTAATTGGGAGTCAAAACTAGAGCTCCTCAACTCGATTAAGAGTTACCCTTGCTTTGCAAAATAAAA